TATTATTATTATTATTATTATTATTATTATTATTATTATTATTATTATTATTATTATTATTATTATTATTATTATTATTATTATTATTATTATTATTGATGATGATGATGATAATAATAATAATAATAATAAACAAGTTAAAAAGCATCAGACCAAGTACTGAACCCAGTGGTACCCCACTGCTTACCAAGCTCCACTGAGAAAATTGCCCATTTATACTCACTCTCTGATTCCTATTAATTAGCCAGTTTTTGATCCACAAGAGGACTTGTCCTTTTATCCCGTGACTATTGAGCTTACTTAGGAGCCTTTGATGAGGAACTTTATCAAAAGCTTTCTGGAAATCAAGGTAAACAACATCTATTGGGTCACCCTTGTCTACATGTTTGTTCACTCCCTCAAAGAACACTAACAGGTTAGTGAGACAAGATCTTCCCCTTACAGAACCCATGCTGAGTCTGCCTCAATAGGTTTTGTTCGTCAATGTGCCTACTAATTCTTTCCTTAATAACAGTTTCCACCAACTTACCCGATATCGATGTCAGACTGACAGGCCTGTAATTTCCCGGATCTCCTCTGGAACACTTTTTAAAGATGGGAGTGACATTAGCTACCTTCCAGTCCTCAGGAATGGAGGCAGATTTTAAGGGAAGATTACATATTTTTGTCAGAAGATCCTCAAGTTCACATGTGAGTTCTTTCAGAACTCTTGGATGTATGCCATCTGGGTCTGGTGATTTGTCAATTTTAAGTTGTCTATCAGTCGTAAGAGCTCCTCTCTCAACACCTCAATCTGACTCAGGTCTTTCAGCACCCCTCCTGAAATCAGCGGTTCTGGAGTGAGCAAGCACTTCTCATCTTCCACAGTGAAGACAGAGGCAAAAAATGCATTCAGCTTCTCAGTCATTTCCCTATCTTCCTTCAGTACTCCTTTTACCCCTTGGTCCTCCAAGGGCCCCACTGCCTCCCTGGCTGGTTTCCTGCTTCTAATGTATATGAAGAAAGTTTTATTGTTGGTCTTTATGTTTTTTGCTATATGCTCCTCATGTTCCCTTTTTGCCTGCCTGATCACAGACTTGCATTTTATTTGCCACAGCCTGTGTTCCCTTTTATCAACCTCACTGAGACTAGTTTTCCACCGCTTAAAGGAATCCTCCCTACCTTTTACAGCTTCCGTTACTTTGTTCGTTAACCATGCAGGCTTTTTTCTATACCTATTTGTGCCTTTTCTAACCTGCGGTATATATTTTTTCTGAGCTTCTAGGATTGTCGTTTTAAATAGTCTCCAGGCTTCCCCAGTGGCTTTGACCCTTTCTACTTTTCCTTTCAGTTTCTTCCTCACATGTCCCCTCATATCAGAGAAGTTACCCCTTTTAATAAAAGTGGTTGTGTCAGTCTTTTTGGGTAACTCCCTATTTATATAAATGTTGAACTCAATACCATTATGGTCACTGTTCCCAAGAGGTGCAATCACTTTTACATCTCTCACCAGGTCTTGGACGTTACTTAGAACCAAATCCAGGGTTGCCTCTCCCCTGGTAGGTTCTGTGACCATCTGCTCCATAGCACAGTCACTGAGAGTGTCTAGAAATTCAATCTGTTTTTCCCCAGCTTGAACATATATTGACCCAATCAATGTGTGGGCAGTTAAAATCACCTATTACGACAAAGTTATTTCATCTAGCCGCTATCTTTAATTCATTCATCATTTTATAATCTTCCTCTATCTTTTGATCTGGTGGGCAATAACAAATTTTCAGTGTTAAGCTTCCTTTTGGGCCCACTATTTCAACCCATAGCATTTCCAGAAGTGAATCCAATTCCCTTACCATCTCAATATTACTGAACTGTATACCCTTTGACATACAGAGCCAACCCACCTCCAACCCTTCCCTCCCATCCTTCCAATATAATTTATAACCAGGAATCACTGTATCCCACTGATTTTCCTCATCCCACCAAGTTTCTGAAATACCCACAATGTCTATCCCCCCCCCCCAACACCAAGCATTCCTTTTACCTTGGACACTTCTAGCATTTGTATATAAACATCTATAGTTTCCCATGCATGTTAAGCCCACAACCTTCCTCTTGCTGCCTCGAGACCTTGCCAGGCAGTCCATATCGTTAGCCACAGTCTCAGTGGACAATTCTAATCCATTTGCTTGTAGAAAAGTAAGAGTTATCCCTTCATCTCTTTGAGATGAGCCATCCTGAACCAGAGACTTTCCATCTCCTGTCGGCTTTCCCTCAATATTCAGTTTAAAAACTGCTCTGCCACCTTTTTGATTTTAAGCACCAGCAGCCTGGTTCCTTCTTGGGACAAGTGGAGACCGTCTCTTTTGTACAGCTCCCTCTTGTTCCAAAAAACATCCCAGTGCCTAACAAACTTGAACCCTTTCCCCCTACACCATCATCTCATCCATGCATTGAGACTCCTGATCTGTGCCTGTCTCTCCGGACCTCATGACTGCATTTCCACACATTGTTGGTGCCAACATGTACCACGACCACTGGCTCCTCCCCAGCACTATCTACCAACCTATCTAGAACACGTGTAATGTCCACTACCTTCACACCAAGCAAGTAAGTCGCCAAACGGTCAGTACATGGGTTTGCCACCCAGCTGTCTACCTGCCTAAGGATTGAATCACCAACTACCAAGAGCCCCCCTCCCTCCCAAGGGATGGTTCCTTGGTGTGAAAGGATACCCGTTCACCAGCTGAAGAAGAGGTCCCTTCTGAGGTGACATTCCCCCTATCTGCAACACGGTGCCCTGTTCCCTCTAGACCCTCATGCTCTCTGACAGCGGTGGGGTTGCCATAATCAGAGTGGGACATATGTAACAAGTCCCCGAGAGTCTTCTCCATGCACCTAACTAACTGTCTCTGCTTCTCCAGGCCAGCCACCTTGGCTTCAAGGGAGCAAACTCGTTCCTTGAGAACCAGGAGCTCCTTGCACCAAGCACACACCCAAGACTTCTGTCCAGTGGGCAGATAGTCATACATGTGACACTCTGTGCAAAACACTGGATAGCTCCCAACCCCCTGCTGGCCTTCTGGCTTCATAATTGCTTTTAAAATAATAATAATATATAATCCCCCTTTTAAAACCCTTTGTATTTATGTGACTCTCCTTGTAGAAGTCTATTTACCTTATTGGGCACCCAAGGAGACTGGGGCCCTGGCTTTCTGGCTCTTCCTGGGATTCTTACAGAGAATCTGGCTCTTCCTGGGATTCTGGCGAGGTGCTGCCTTAAATAGAAGCCTCCCCCAGCAGAGGGCGTGGCTAGCAACTATTCAAATTCACCCAGGCACTCACAGTCAAACAATGACCCTTTCTCACACTATCTCAAGCAGCCAGGACTCTGCAACAACTCAAAACTCACCCACACATTCCCAGTCCCCCCACACAGTACCCTCAGCTAAAAGCAAATTAAAAACACTCACCCCTCTAGCAGCTCTATCTCCTGCTGCTTCTCAGAGCATCTAAATTGGTCTTCCCTCAGTTCCCTCTCCACCATTCATTCTGTTACTGTACCTGTCTCCACTGACACACAGGCTGCCCAATCTAACTTTAGATACTTTCTGTTATTAGTGCCTAAATTGCCATCTGTTTTTAATTTTGAGTTGTTACTGTGTTTGAGTTGTTACTGTGTTAATTTGGTTTTAACAAATAATTCATTGTATTGTTTTTAAGTTGTTGTAACCCGCCCTGAGTCTTGCTGTGCAGGGGAGGGTGAGCTAAAAGTCTAATACAATAAATAAATAAATAATAAATATTGGACTAAAGGGCTTTTTAGATATACTTAACAGAACAGGAAATTATAGAGGTGAACAGCTGCCAGTAATCCAGGCGAGAATCACACCCAGATTTATGCCAGTGGTCTAAAACAATTCTGAGGGTGCTCCTGTGTTTATTTATGACACTGTGAGATTTTGTGTGCACCACTTTCTAATTCAACACTTGTAACAGCCAGTGTTTGGGCTGTGAAAACTTTATGGATCGATAATCCACATAACAATGATCAGTATTGTTAACATTGTATAGTTTCACTTACGCAAATGGGCTTTGTAATACTGGCTCTTTACTCATCCCTTGTTGTGAATTTTGACAAAATCTGGCTCTTTAATCGTAAAAGGCTGTTGGCCCCGTTCTAGTCTATTAAAAGTATTATAGCATTAAGGAGGCCTGCAAACTCTAAGATCACAGTTTGTTCTTTCTTCTGGCTGCAATTTTGGTGCTAGTTCAGCACTGAATACCACGTTCTGGCCTTCTAGCTAGCCTAATTTACATTCCTTGTGTGAGTGATGACACAAAAGGGTTATGAGTGCATGTAAGTGTTGCCAACAAGCCTCCCTGCATAACAACATAGGAGGGAAGAGAAGCAGCACAGCAATACCGGACCTTACGAGGCATCTTGCGATGGAGCAGAAGGATCCTGGTTTTCAGGCTCTGGGGGAGGAGCTGGCACTGATTCTTCTTTCTTCTGTGCAGCCAGGAACTCATGAATTGCCTTCTCTATTTGTGGCCTGAAGATGTGGTTTAATTTTGGATCTACCACCTGAGAAATAATTCTGTCCACTCCAGCTTCCAGCATCCCTGACCTGGGGCAAAGACAAAGGAGTCATTCAGCTCCTCCAAAAAAATTTCCCTCCTACCCTCACCAAGAGCTCTCCTGAGTTGTCACGTCAGTTGCAATTAGCATTAACATGGTGTGAACTACTGCTCTCTTGGTAGGTCCTCCATGGGAGAGTTGTTCCACTCACTGCAAAGAAAACCAGCTGAGTTCGAACCTGACAGCAGACATCTGATCACATAATCTCTTAAAAGGAACACTGGATGGGAGTTCTTGCAGGCATACAAAGCACCAAGCAAACAGAAACATGTCTTGGCACAAAGTGGGGCTGGGAAGAAGAGAACACATCTTGGAAGAGATAGGTGGGAGAGGACGAGAGGTGATCTTCTTGGCTGTTCCATTTATAGCAAAAAACCCCAGAAAGGCAGCCTTCACCCCAGGACTTGCCACCGCCACCTGCTCCTTACAGCTGCCGGTCTAGACACATGGGCACTTTTTACAAGACAAACAAAAACAAATACATGCAGCATAAGACAAAGAGCTTTTTTTGGAACAGCAAGTCACAAACCAAGAAGTGACTTACTACTGCAAGGGCTGTTGTCACATAACAGACAGCATGGGCTGTCTGGTGGGGTTAAGTCATGTCTATAACAGACCAGGGGAGGCAAAACAGACATTGCCTAGCATTTGGGAAAGAGGCTGCATGCCCAGTGTGACCCCCAACTGTGCAGAAGACTGTCAGCAGACACTGCTTTAAGGCCAAGTGGGCACCATGTTTAAATCTTATTTTTTATAAAGAGTATTTCTGGTCTGCCACAAATGCAAATACTGGACTTGGTGCATATGCAACTCCTGAAGCTGGCAGGCTGAGCCATGTTCTGAAACTGAAGTTGCCTACAATGCACGTGAGCACTGTAATAGTGCCAGCACAGAAGACACACGTTCAATAACAGGAGAAGCGCTCTTGTCAGGTTTCACATTGAGCAGCAAAAGTGCTGTGGAAACGTTTGAGTATCCCCACTGTTAACAAAAGCAAAACAAAACGGAAGTAGCTAGCTGGTGGTCTCCCCTCATAATGGGGTGGATCCTAGCCATGTTTCCCTCTGGCAGAAGACACTTCCACAAGCATAGAAGAATGTATATGCTTTTTTGACTGATTCCCTCTTTGTACTGCTGACTGCCATGTTACCCTATATACTGTTCCTCAGGGTAAAATTTCAAGGAGCCACAGCAGGTTGCAGAAGGGGGAGGAAATTGAAAGTAGAAAAGTTCACTTATGCAAGTACTGTGCCATTTATGCAAGGTAAGACACAGCACCAAGTTCCTGGGACAGGCTGAATAAAAAAACAAGGGCTGGAATAATACAAACATGCAACATCTGTGTCCGTAAGAAAAGTGAGCAAGGAAGCCAACATGTATACAGGGCTCCTGCCTCCCACAGAATGTCTGTAATAAGCCACTTGCCTTGTTTGAAGGAGCATGCAGCTTAAGTTGCCTTTGCTTTGTGGCTCACACACCTCACATGCAGGTCACAGAGAAGCAAACCTCAATCACCTGCAGTATGTCTGTTTTGTGAGGTCTACCTCATAATGGAAAGCAATGGAACTGGGACATTACCATGAGCATGTATGTGAAAGACAGATGTACTGTGAGTTTCACAAACAAGGAAATGCTTAGTATTTAATTCATGCCCTCTGCTGATAGAACCACACAACCAGTAAAAAATAAGACTCAACTGACTAAAGGATGATAAACTATCATGTTCACAGCATGTAAGCATAGATACCATCTATTATCTATTTCACATGGACAGGTCATAGAGGCCCACTACAGTATCACTGTGAAACAAGTTTTTACTACAATTGCTCCAAGTTTCTGGGATGACTTCCTGAGTGTGGCCAGAACTGAATATCCCCAGTGGCATTCTGGGGTATTTGTGACACTCCTGTTTTGCATGGGCTTTAGCAGTTAAAATAAATATGATGGCCACACAGTTTTTGTTGACATGCTATGAACTTTCAGAAATGGAGTGCCTAAATTTGCCGTGCATACAACTTTGAGATTAAGAAAGGATTAATAAGCAAAGAATCCACAAGGACTTGCAATTTCATTTTCCCCTGTTATCTCCTTCCCCATACTATTACCTCTTTTTCTTCTCCCAACAGCACTCGTATTCTCTCCCCTTTCCCTGCTTCCTTCTTTTCCTACTTACCAACCAACCCTTCTTTTATCTCCCCCCCCCTTCAGCTTTATTTACATCATCCCCTTCTCCTTAGTGAAGTTCCAAAGCAGCTTCCATCATTCTCCTCTCCTCAGTTTCATCTTCACAACAACCCTGTGAAATAGATTGGGCTGAGAAAATGACTTGCCCAAGGCCACTCAGCAAGTTTACACAGCAGAGTTGAGATCTGAACCTGGGTCTTCTGGATTCTGGTCTGAGACTCTAACTACTACACCACACCAGCTTTCAAATATGCCTTCTTTATGCCTCCTGGTAGCCTCTCCCTGGAAAAATCTGGCCAAGATGCAAAAGTCCTGCAGTAGCAAGTTGCTTAGGTGAATTGTATGGTGGACACTGCCATGCCCAACCAAGCTGCACAAGTTGTGCAGAGGGTGCTGCTTGGCCTAGATGAGTTGCATGGTATCAAGTCATCTGGTAGCCATGGCCACACCTGGACCTTGGTATCAAGCTGCCTGTGGTTGCTGGTGGACCTGACCCTAATGAATCATCCCTCCGGGGCAGGAAGGAGGGGAGCAGGGATGGACTGGGAGTCCAAAACAGCCCTAGAAAAGGCACTCCCTCTGCCTTTTACTGACAGAAATCAGGTTTGAAGGCTGGCGATATTGTGGTTTCCTATCAACCCCACGATTGCCAGTGAGATCTCCCTTCTGTAGAGCTACAGTTGTTGCTTCTATTATTTGGGGGGCTTTTAATCTCTCAATGTGTGTTGGTTGTTTTTTTAAAAGCTTTCAGATTATTCTGCAAACCCAGGTTTTTTCTTACATTTGTAAAAAGATCTGCTGTGTGTTCATGACCCCAATGTCTGCATTTAAGTATCCACAGATGTGACCATATTGAGAATTAGTTATAGTGCAATTAATCAGTTTTGCTACTTTTGCCAAGTGTCCTGCACTCCTATGAAGGTCCTTCAACCTATCTTGTGCATTTTATACCAACCTTCGTCTAAGTGGCTTAGGGCAACATGTATCTTTCTCTTCCTACTCCCATTTTACCCTCATAACAACCCTGTGAGGTAGATTAAGCTGAGGGCGATTGGCCCAAGTCACCTAAGCAAGCTTCATGACAGAATGCAGATACCCCAGCCCGTCTGGTCGCTATTGGGTTAGCTGCTCTGAAGTCATGGGGGAAGGAGAAGAGGGATGAAGAACTGCATTTGTACCAGTTAAACAGTTAAAGCTCACAGCCTTTTAAAGCCAACCCACTCTCATTCTAGGCACACTGCAACAACAAATTTTTGAAAGTTATTACTGCCAGTTTTAGATCTCCAACCTTTCTAGATAATAGTGTAATAACAGCAACTTTCAAATGGTGATTTCTGCTTATTTCAATGTATACTGCTACAAGTATTTGCATATTGGAACCTGGTACTTCCCCTACTGTCTTAAAAAATCAACATGCATTATTCCATCTTCACCTGGAGACAATACTTTATATATCAGTAAATAGTTTGCAGAAAGTAAAGGCATTTAAAATATCACAGATTTTATACAATGGACAGTATACTGCTAAAATAACCTGCAGTCAGTCGAAAACTCTCATGCTGTGAGGAACATAATGGATTAGCTATAGCAATAGCGCCAGAACCAAGCAAACATGTGTTGCCACTGCTCTCTGCTGGACAAAAATAAAATAAACCCACCTAGACTGTTCAAGCTGCTGCCCCTCATGATGAAAATGAGGAAATAACAAAGCATTCCTAAGAGGCAACAAGGTAGTAAGATGTCCCTTTTTTCTGGAATCTGATGGAGGCTTGTATCTGTCCATTATTAGGGTCTTATAAATCCAATTCTGGTAAAAGCATGACGGGCAAAAAACTTGGTTCCCCAAAATTTCTTGTCTATTTCAAAGTTTGGTTCCGGCTTCAGAAGGGGCCCCTTAGTGGGTTACTATGGCTCAGAAACTGCCTTGCTGAGAAAGAGCAAGCTGACCTTGTGAATCTGCAGATAACACCAGCTGCAGAGAGGAGTCGAGAAACCTGGTACTGGTTTCCCAATTAGCCACGTTCCTTTCAGTTAAGTTCATGACTTGCACCTGTGGGAAAGGGGCCAGGCTTTGTTCCTTTCTCCCAGGTCAGACCACTGCTTAGGTCACCACTTAACCATTGGCCGGACAATCTGGCTTTCTGTCATCACCTAAGGCTCCCATTGGTCTTTCAGGCCTGAGACCATGAGGGCCTTTACCATAAAGAAGTAGGCTTCTAGACTATTGTCAGCCTGATGGTGACTACTAGAGAGATCTGGATCCTCTCACTCACAGTGGCCATTTTGAATCTTTGCATGTGTGGGTCAAACAGTTTCTGGCCTTGCTGACTATGGAGAAGAGCCACTTTGGATTACTGGAACATATAACTGAGAATGGGTAACATCCTGTAACTTGGAACCAATGTATTACTGTGTGTGTTAGCTCTTAAATTTCTGATTTTATTATTTTAATCCTCACAGTCTTCTTGTTTAAAGTATCCTTTCACTTTAATAAAAATATATTTTAATTACTTTTGTGGTTATTTGCCTTCACCTGACCTCAATTTAAATCCAGAGCCTAGACTGGCTGACCACCTACCACAGTAATTGCTTTTGTTGGAAACTCATTTCTGCAAGCTCATCTTGCAAGACTGACTTTCTAGTTTAGTCTCAGGAAGGTTATTTATTTATTTATTTAAGTATTTTTACCCCGCCCTCCCCGCAAGGCTTGCCCTTTGGCTTCTGACCCTAGGGATAGAAAAAAGGGCTGGTGAGGAGTCACACCCCAGAGTTATGTAATTTTGTGTTTCGCAGCCATTAAACTAAGTCTCTTGGCCCTGGACAGAATCAGGAGGCTTTGACAGTGACACTAATTAACAAGAGGATATCAAGCTCTTACAGTGAAAACCTAAGCAGAGTTACACTCTCCTAATGCCACTGAAATCAATCAGCTTGAAAGAGTTGCACTCTGCTTAAAACTAAAATCTTAACTGCTATAAAGCCCATCATCATTAAAGGGAAACTGTTTCCAAATTAACTTCTTACCCACAAGCCATTTGACCTGGACAACTATTCTAAAAACATTTTACTTACTGTGTCACACTCTGCCTCAGGCCATTCCGCAACTGGTTTTTGTTCATTGTTGGGTTCCATTCAAAATCCTGCTTATCCAGGTGAGTAGACACAAAATTATCCACTTTCTGTCTCAAATTCTGATAGGCTGGCTAAGCAAAGCAGTCCAGTTAGTACATGCCCAAAGAGACTCGATAACCCATCCCTGAAACACATTTTTGTACCCTGCCATTAATTTTTGACAGGTTCTACTACTTTCCTCCCCTCAGAATAGTTTGAGACAAAATAAACTAATTTTAGTCCAATAACAGAGAGTAGGTTAGAACAAAGTGCATTACCTTGTATGCAAATATACTTTCATGTGATGAAGCTTTTAGCTCAATAGTGAGTGGTGGATTCAATACCGAGAAAATAAAAAACTTCTTCATACAACACAATTACTACCACAAGACATGGTTAAAGACACTTGTTTAGATGATATTAAATGGGGATTACACAAATTCATGAAAGAAAAGTCCACCGGCAACTATTAGCCATGATGGCCAAATAGGATCTCCATATGCAGAGTCAGAAGAGAGCACCAGAAGGAAATCCAGGGCAGAAGGAAATACAGAAGCAGGCAATGGCAAACCAACTCTAATTGCCTCATGTCTTGAAAACCCTACAGGGTTGCCATAAACCAATGGCAACTTAACAACACTTTCCACTACCACCACCATTCAGGACCCATTTCCTTTAAATAAAAAAAGAAAAGAAAAAAAAGCAGCAACAACAGCCCCAACAATTTCCCAAAAGTGCCTTACAGGAAGATGAGCACGAGCTATGCAGTGGTTCCTTTTTGCTCATGTAATGTAATGGGGTGGGGGTGGAAGAAAAGAGGCAGAGCAAACGTGTACAGTCACTGCAAACTAAGACAACTGATGTCAGTGAGCTTAGACTGCAGTACTTCTACGAAGGATTGCCCTGTAACAAGGGAAGAGCATTATCTACGGCAATATTTTTAGTGTTGAAAGTCGCTTCGAGAATTTCATGGTTGACAACAGAAATACAAACCTAGCGAGTAAACAAGCCAGATGTGCTGAATAAGTTCAGCACGCACACCAAGTCACCCACCACCACCACCCGAGTACCATGCCTATGCAGACACCGGGAAAGGCAAGAGGAGCCTAACCTCAGCTAGAAACAGCGGATTTTGAAGGAAAAAGACATTGAACACTTCCTGGGGGCGGGGGAGGAAACTGTGCACGGCTGAAGGGAGGTAACCCCCACCTTGGTGTCGACGTCGGCCAGGCAGTCCCTGCGGAAAGCGTCGAAGAGACCGCGGCTCTTGAGCTGCCCAACTATAATGGCAATAAGCTGAGCGTCGCCGGGGGGCAGCGAGGCCGGGTCAGTAGCCGCGGACCCCGCGGAGCTTCCCCCGGCTCCGCCTGTGCCAGATGGCACCCCGCCCGGCTCCGCCATCCCCCTGCCCGGGCCCTCCCAGCGCCGCCGCCCAAGGGGCCACTGCGCTGCTGCCACCGCCGCCACAGAAACAAGAGGTGGTGGCCGCAGGTAGTGCTGTTGCGGTCGCTGACGCACCGTATTCTGCGTC